TGGTTTCTGCTAGAATGGTATCTCTGTACTGTACTACGTGTAATCAAGCTTCAGACATTCCCATAACACCCTTCATGTAAAATATCAGAAGTTTATATATATCAGATACTGTGTGTTCGGACACTTATAGTCCAGTAGAATATTCCAATGCTGTGAGAAGCAAAATGTATAGTGTAGGATTAGAATGGGTAAAAACTTTGTGTTAAATTTTTTTTCCTTCTTTCAAGACAACTTTAATCTTAAATTGTTTTACTTAATGGTACTTCCACACACAAATTAGATAATTTTTAACCTCATTAAGAAAAATTCTTTATTTTATGTGGATTGTGCCCAAGAGGAAAAAAATCTCAATCACTTGAAAGCCTCATCTCCTCCTTCTTACCCCTCCCCACGGAATCAAAACAAAGTGAATCAAAACAAAACAACCCCCCCAAACAAAGAGACAAACAATAAAATTATGTTGCAATAGTATTTTAACTAGGTTTGCTGGGGGGAGGGAGGAATAAATATTGGGTTTGAATAGAAGTTGGGTGTTTGGAAGACTTATTTGCACTGAACAGTATCCTTAAAAGAGGGACCAGTATAGGTAGAGTCCCCAAATAAATTATCACTATTCCTTTTCAGACTAAAAATAAAACATTTTAAATATATTGATTATACCTTTATCAGAACGTAAGTATTCTATCTGGCCTATAGGTTCCAAGAATCTCTATTTGGGCTTAACTTACCATAATTTCAAAACAAAGCTATGAAATGTGAAATTTTGCACATTAGGATGTTCATAGTGACCACATAAAGTAATAAAAAAAAAAATTCACAGACTCTTAGCCATATATTTCAACTTTTTTTCACAATTTAAACTAGTGAGAATTTAAAAAAAGCATCGATTTCCTGTTAGGAATATTTTCTTTATTATTATTATTCCCTTTTAAAATCAGATGTGTTTGTGCCTTTTGGGGCTTTTTTAAGAATATTAACTTTCAGGGGGTATGCCATGAGTGAGAAAGTAATCAGATAAAAATTAAAATATATTCTCAATGAAAATCTCGATCATATCATGCCACTGACTAAGCCAAACTCTCCACTGATTTCAGGCTAGAGTGTGGCTTAAAAATCTCTGGTATGATACAGGACTCTCATTGATCTGTACAGGCTTTCAGTCATATCCATTGTTCCCTGACTTCTGATGTTTTTCTTTATCTGTATTGCTTACTTGTAATAAGGATTCAGAATTGCATTTAAAGTCTATGAATTTTTGGGGCATTTTGACTCTTATTCCTGCCCACCTCCATTGATACAAGATTTTTTTGCCGTTTTCTGAGTGACAAAAAGTTGAAAAGTTATGGCTAATTTTATTTCTATTTTAATAACCATACCTATATAATTGTCATTTTCATACATTAAAAAAATATTTATGCTTTCTTTTATATTTTAGTCAAGTACTTTCTTAAACAAAACAATAGCACCACTTTGGCATTGTTGGCCAAATCAGTAACAGGTAAAGCAAATATGTGTACGCTTTTCTGATCTTGTAATTTCTTGCACTTGATTATTAAATGGAGAGCCAAGAAGACACAGTGCTTGGCCTAAAGTCCTCATTAATCAATTTTAACCATTGATACTGAGGGAACAACAAGCTCACGTGGCAACTGAACATAGCTCCTAATTGTATATGAAATTCACTTCTAGAAAGAAAGTCCACCACTAATTTACCCTTTAACCTTACGAAAGGAATTGACACTGTAAGCTGCCTTGGAAAAAAGGGACCTATTTTGATGTCTCTACAAGGACTGGATGCAATAACCCATAGTTTGATTTTCTTCTCTCAACTGAATGGCACAAATGAGCCTCATACAAGTCTATCACAGAAATATAAGTGTGGGTTTGTAAGTACATTTTGAGCAAAATAAAGAATTAATTCATTTTCTATTTAAACTCTTAATGATTAATTGCATTTACTATGGCGATGAGGCTCAAATTTTGCTACTTTAATGAAAGAGATGTATTAACTTCAGTGGGTTTAAATCTGCAGTGCTTTTTGAACTGACTGAAAATAATGAGGCTTAATCAACTTTTTTTTTCTTCTGCATTTCAGTGACATTCTATGTAATAACTGGAGTTTTAAGTAGACTCGAGAATGCAAAAATCTGTTACCTCTCTCATGTGACTTAGATGACAGGGAAGGATGGAGAGTGGGCCTTTCTGTACCATTTAAGTGATTTATGAGAATCCATGGCATCCATTGGCAGCCCTGTTCCTAAATATCTGGAGTGCTTTTGAAAATCCAGCTGAACCTTTCAATTTCTCTAATTAGAAGTTTTTCAAGTCAGACTGCTTTGTACTTTTGGGAGGGAGATGTTTTGGCTCATGCTTCAACTTCTTTAAGTAGAGGATTTATTAAGATTATTAAGCTAATGCAGCCCTTTATCTTTCACACTAACTGGTATATCATGTGCTCCTGGCCATATGACTGGATATTTCTTATACAAAATGCATTTCCCATCCATGCATTTCTCACCTCTGTGGGGCTGGAGCTACTTTCCATTTTGTGATACCATTTATTCACTAGTAAAGCAAAGTGTTGCCTTTGAAGTTTGTAGCTATTCATTATTTATTTTAGTTTCTTCTAAGAATTGTTCTAATTTGTTTAGACAGTTGTCAGGTTGTGATGTTAGATACTGCTGTGTCTGAGTGACATTTTCTAATTATAATTTCTCAAAAGGAGAAATATGGTGGCATGAATGTGTGTGAATCTCAAGATAAGACAAAAAATTTGAATTAATTCACAGGAATTGATGCAAAATGATGTATAGTTATTCAGTTGTGTTAACAGTGCATCAGTAAAAGAGTTATCTGCAAAGAAACTTGCCACCACAGCTATCTGCAAATTGCTTTTTACATTCACATCTTTCTTCTTTCCTCCCTTTAGAACTTCAGAGGATATAGGAGACAGAAGGGATCATGGGACATGAAATAGAAATATGTATTAAGTCTGTGACATCAAAATAATGCTTATTCTTAGACTGTATTTCAGAATTCTTACAACCATTAAAGTAAAACTACTTCCCTCTCCATCCCCCCGTCAAAAAAATGCTTATAGATGCTGTGGCAGGTATCAGAATTCCTAACTGTTTATTGAATTGGTGGTAAATAATTTAGGTTAGTTTTCACACCTGTTTCTCTTTACTTTCTTCCTTTTTCAACATAACTATCTCAGTCAGTGTCAGCTGTGACATATTCTTTTTATTCATTTACTGTTCTACTTTTACATTGCTATGGCAGCTTATTGTGCATATAGACATCCATCTCACAGAAAGCGGAGGGTTTAAAGAATTGCATAGGAATACATTGCACTTGTTAAAAATACAAACCACAAATTTTCTATGGGAATAAAAAGGAACTGTAATAATTTGTTAGACTTTTAAGACCTACCTTGTTTCACAAGGAACTATTGAGGAGCTGTATATATGCAGTATGCAGAGAACCTTTTCTTGTGTTTTAGTCAATACTTCAGTTATCTACTCCCCTGGATGTGGTAGAAAGGAAGGCAGATTTGAGCCTTTGAAAAGGATCCTTCCTTTGTAGGTCTAATCTAACATCTCCCTAACTGCTCCCTTCAAACAGTACTGTCCAGGCTCCCTTTGGGCCTGACCAAGAGATACATCATCCCGTGCCTGAGCTTACCTCATGTAGGGAGGTGAGGGGAAGAAGTCGAGTGGAACAACTTTGGAGTTCTTGGACAGGGTGGAACAGTGCATTCCCCCCAGTCCCCCTCCCCCCACCCATCTAGTCTTCCCTTCTCTCACAGAGAAGTTTATTGCTCACCTTGGTCACTGCTGGCTACCTTCACTGCATGGCCAATCTGGCTCTCAGTTGATGTAAAAAAATGGAGCATAGGACACAGCGTTATTTAAGGTAGAACCAGTGCAGTGCCTATCAAAGTTATGTAACAGGGGATTGTAAGTAAGGATGTAAGGATTTTATGGTTAATCTCTTCTTGAGGACTCTTTCTACACTGTAATTTGGTGATTAGATCAGATTTTCTGATTTACAGAGAGATGCAGAAGTCCAGTAAATGGTCAGTTAGGTCATATCTGATTGTGGGAAGAATTAAAATGGAGGGGAACTTGAGTACCTCTCTATTATGTTTGAATAGAATGATGATATTTCTGGAAGATTTAGGTACTGATGGACTACCTTTTGAAGTCATTTGAGAGCTGTTTTTCAAATTGTTTTCTCTGGGCCTAGACATCTATTAATTTGTGTTCCACATAACCATAGGTGAGAACACCACCATTCAAACATCTAAAAGGAAACGAGTATGAGAATTTTCTTTTGGAGATGGGAAAGGTATTACTATATTGAAATCTGAAGCCATTTCAGTTGATTTAAGCTGAATAGTTTTGAGACTATTTTGTTATTTAATCTTTGGCTTTGTCCTTCCACATTTGCTTTTACCTATTACCGTTTTGGCCAGACCCTTTCATGTAACAAACTATAAAATAGCACCGTTGTACTATAAAACAGAGATTTTTACATACTGTTTGATATATGTGTATTATTGATATGCTAAATTTTACATACTGCATTATATGGAGGAAGAAAGAAGTTACCTATACTGTTGCAAAATAATTACCTGGAAGAATCATTACTGGTTTGAGAGCCTATGTATGCTTTAACTGCTTTAAAAAAATCTTTTGTCTCACAAATTGCAATAAATTGCATGTTTGCAAGAGAAGGAAGAAAAAAACTGTCTTAAAACAAATGCATCTATAACCCATATTCTGTTGAAATGCCACAGATGGAATTAATGGACGTTTAAAACTGTATATGTTACCTTACTGCTGCTGTTACTGGGAATGTCAAACTGTGCAAATATGAAGGGGTAGACAAACAATGTTATCAGACACTGTAAAACAAACAGCCTGTTGCTTGTATAGAAGTGCAAATAAAAAAACCACCACTTAGACAAGGCTGATGAATGACTCCAGCAGCCAGTGTTCATAGGTTAATTTAGTGCAATTGGATCCGTCAAAGGCCCATAAATTTGTAGGCATTTGAGGGGCACAGGGCTTTAAGAGTTTTTGTGCAGGACATTTAAAAAAGGTTAACAAACAGTAATATATCAACCACAGAAATTTTAGCTCTGGGCTGGTTAAAATGTTCTGTTCTCTAAAGACTTAATATTGGAATGTTTAGTTGCATTGTTCACTGGGAGAATGCCCATTGGTTGAGATTGCATCAAGCTTTTTAAAACAAAGGTTTTTTTAAGTCTTCCAATGTTTAACAAATAATTTATTTACAGCAAAGTATCCTGCAGATGGCACATTCATTCTTCATTCTTGTGGATGGCATGTTCTTACATTCTGTAGTTTCTGTTTCCTGTGTTCCCTCTACTTGTATTCTTCAAATGCACTTCCTGGGGGTTTAGAAAGAAAAAATTATTACTGATAGGTTTCAATACTTTGTATGACCACTAAACTTATAACAGTGGGAAAACAGTTACCCAGAATGCTGGAGTTGTTAGACCCCCTTCTGCCAGTTCACAAGGAATAGTCTGTGGAGAACCTTCTCTTGTGTTTTAATCAGTAGTTCAGTTATCTACAGGGCACTTAACAATACAGAACTTCTCTACCCTAAATTTCCAGTTCTCTTAGACATAAATGATTGCTGTCATTGTTGTTCTTGGCAGAGGAAACATCTGCATGGGTGGGCAACAACCTGGATGGGCTTAGACATATGGTAGGTACCAAAGATTTTCTTTCACAAGGACATTTACAAAAGCAGGATGTGTAGGGGCCGAGGAACTTGGGAGTTGTAACTGAAGGATTCATGGAGCCTCTTGGGCTTTGGTACCCAGTGTTTTCAAAATTGCTCTGCTAACTACATATTGCATAAATGACATATTACATATGTTGGATTTTGTTGGATAAGGCCTTGAGGAGATTTAAAAGTGTGGGTTCAGTGTAGGAGCTACAGTCAAAAAATTTGTATTTTCAAAACAGACAGGGTGATGTGCCAGGCAAATCAAGAGAGCTTTGGAATTAATAATGCCCTCAGTTCACTGCCAGTCCAAGCACAGACCAGTTTCCAGCAGCAGTGATGGGTGTGACATATACATTTCAGTTTGATTTCCTTATTTGCCATGCTGGTAAATATTATCTGGGCCCAAAGCTTCATCCATTCTGTATCAGAATAAAGGCAGAATTTTTAAGTGATTCTCTATATTTATAATCCTCATCAGAAATCAAATTCTTAGTTAACTGAAATCTGTCTGTTCTAAGAAAAGCCAAAAAGAAAAAACTATATCTGTGAAATGTGTAGAATGTGTATGCAGCTCTACCACTGCAGTAGTTGCTATTAAAGCCCTAAAAATAAGGAAATGTAGCCTCTAAAATTTAAAAAGATTTTCCTGCTTTTCTGATGGGCAGAAAGAAATGAAAACTAATTTGGAGCAATACAGTTTTGTGGAGTTTTTTAGTGATTTCCCAGATAACATTCTATTCTATATGTAACTTTTCCATATCCTTTCCGTATCTATTAAACATAAAATAAATCTGAAACTAGCAAGGGATCAAAAAACTTGAGCTCACATAGAGGTTATTAATTTTCTTGGATTTGGATAGGATTCTCATGGATGTGAGTTTAATTATTATTTTAAGTATATGAAATAAAAATGAAGCAGTACTCATTCATGGCTAGGCTTCACGAACGAAGATTTGGGGAGGGCTCTACCCATGTTTGCTACAAGAGCATTGGTGGCTAAAAAGGCCAATACAAGACAGGCACGTCCGATTGCAAAAGGCACAGCAGAAAGACTCCTTAGGTGGTATATTCTGCAGGACACGATTCTTTCTGCATTGTCTTTTCTCCTCGAGAGTGATCCTGCGTGCTTTCTCAAAAGCATCAGCAGCGTTATAGATGGTGTGTCTCCAGACCTCCCGACTGGAGGCCAGAGTAGACCAGTTATGTTGATCAATATGGCCAAGGCTGAGCGGGCCTGGGGCGTGGAAAGGAGAAGCAGTACTAGTAATTGTTAAATTAACTATACCATTAACAAGTAAAAAAAAACATTAAGCCAAGTTAAGACTTATCACTGGCAAACCAAACTTGTTGATAGCAAAGTATTCATGATGAAGAAATGTCTCTTTTAGGAATCTGCCAGATTAATCATCTAGTCTCTTTTCCTGTGAAAATTCAGAAGGATACTGGCTTGTCTTCATCCAGTTTTGCTAATATTGCTGTAGAATGGCTTCCTTAGCATCAAACAAATACGGAATCAGAAATGTCAACAGAATTCTGCTTATCCATACATTAACATATTTTCTGCTTTTCATTGCCTGTTTCTGTTCCAGCTTTTGCAAAACTACCTTTGCTATCTTTAGTTTTCCCTAAGTTGTATCTTAGTTTTCTTTCTTAAGTACTCATTCTGGGTCAGCCCTTCAATTTTCACTGATTTTCATGAAAATCATCATTGTAGCGTTTCACAGGAGTCTGCCAATATGAAGGATCCTACCTTATTCTGCAAATGCTTAGATCAGTTACAATGAACTAGGAAAATGGGAATTTCTTTACTCATCTGCCCAGCTTTTTTCTACACAGCAACAAAATAAAATATTCTCCTCAGTGCTGACCCTAGGTGCTCCTCTTTGAAGATAGTTTACCAGCATATAGGAAAAGTTATATGTTACATTATATTTGCAAAAAGTCATCCATTCTTAAGGACTGAAAACTCATGTTCTATAAAATGGACAGTGAGAGTCTTATAATGAAAGAACAGCCATTTTGCATTGCAGTGACTTTCAAAGTGTATTTAGATTGAAAATTACCTATATTTTTCTCAATTGAAAATATAAATTATCTCCACCACTGCTGTTGTCTGACTTTAAAATGGCTTTATCAACCAAATAAAGTAGATACTAAGATGCAGCAGGGTTTCGGTTATAGCTTTTAATGCTGACATGTAGGTAAAAAAAAAGCTGTCATGATACACAAACTAGTTTTGAAATTGAAGGAAGATGGCAGGTTACTTTTAGAACATTTTCTTCTCCAGATTCAGCATTTTGATGAATAACTACAAATAAGTGCCACTGGTGGTAGCAGCAGTAACATGCATGCCAGAAAATGCTTTGACCCACATAACATTTCATGTATGCAATGCTGAGAGTGTTGGGAAAAACAAAACAGAACAAAAAAACAAAGTTGTGAATGCTTGAATCAGGTTCTCAGACCTGCGTTTGTACTGGTATATCAAAGTTTGCCTCACTTCTCAAGTCTTTGAGGAAAAGGTAGTTAGAGATAAAATTGCATCTGTGATGCTTGTTTTATTGTCAGATCCTCTGAGCTGTTATTCAGACCCAGATGAATAAAATCACCATTTTAAGATGAAAGATGCAAAATGTGAACTTTATATAAATCAGCTCATGAAAAGAGAAGCACAGACTTCTAACCCTTCACCTACAGCATGGATCTTTGGAGAAAAGACAAAAGGATAACAACTACCTCAGTCATGGTAATGGTCATTTAACTGAGATGGAAGGATATCGGGAAGCATGCAGCAACATTCTTATCCTATTAGGACAGACATTCAAACCTCATGTTGGCATTGAAAATTCTCTTGCTCTACTGGTAATAAATGAAAAGTCTAGTGTTTGTAGTAACAGGCACGATACCTTAGCTATGAACTCTCTGGGGGCTCTTTGAAATCTTTTCGGTTCTGTGGGCAGTGTGATCAGTAATATAAAAACAGGGCTGGAAAATGAGCCATGGGAGAAAATAATTCTCTGAAGAGTCCAAGTCCTTCTATCTGTTACACCAAAAAGTTCCCTCATTGGCTTAGTAATGTGGCATGGCTGCAACAGAAATTAGGATTGGTGCCATTGTGCATACTTTGGCCTGTAAATGTATCTGTGAATTGACACTCAGCCAATTACGAAAGAATCTACCAGTCTTAGAAAAATTAATGAGAAATAATGCAATACTTTTTCTGTTTTCCTAAAGGCATTTTCTTAAATGAAAAATATTAATATCTTTTCTCTTTCTCTCTTAGTCTCACTCAGTGTTTATTTAAATTTTGAAGATTAGATAAAGTCGGAAAAGTATTTTTGGGAGAATTTTCTTCCTATTCATACTTTGCTGGTATGTATATTCATGTGTGTTTTTCACATGTGGGCCTAAATAAGAATAAGGACTGAAAATCAGAGGAAGAACAAAATTATATCCAGATATGCACCTTTTTTCTCCTTTTGCTTAGGATGAAAGGGGATGGCATGGCACTGTCTTCATGAACAAGTTCAAGTTGTGCCAGGAATGGTTTAGATTGGATGATAGGAAAAATTTCTTCACAGAAAAGGTTGTCAAGCACTGAAACAGGCTGCCTAAGGAAGTTGTGCAGGTATTTAAAAGATGTGTAGATGTGGCACTTAGAGACATGGTTTAGTGGTGGAGTTGGTAGTGCTGGGTTAATGAACTCAATGATCCTAGATCTTTTCCAACCTAAATGACTGTATGATTCTCTTTTATTAATTTTTAAAATCAACCTTATCATTATTCACATTTATGTAGTAATTTTCAAGGTAAATGAATAAGAACTTTGTGACATTGGTTCTGTGACACTGTTTCATTTAGAAAGGTCACAGTCTTCCCTCACATATACAGTTGTGGAAATTGCTCAGTTACTTCTTTGCTAGGAGAGTTGTTTTTCAAAGTTCTACTCACTAATTTTCCAAATTGCTGTTAATAGTTAGTTCACTTTTTGAGTAAACTTTTGTTATCATTTTTCAGAAGAGAAAGATGAGTGGAAGAAAAACTAGATGGGACCATGACATGAAACACAGGACTTTAACTTCCCTCCTTGCTCTTGTTTTGGACTTTAAAAGTCTAGATATAAACTTAGTGTAAAAATAGGTGAAACCATTGCTCTGCTTAAACCAAACCCCAAATCCTGGATTTGTCATTTAGAAAGTTATGAGGAGATGCTAAATAAAGACTATATCAGATATATGAAAGGCATAAGAAACTGGTTGTCTGTGAAGTCTGAGAGTAACTGCACAATATATATTCCACTTAATCCTACCTTAAATCTTGCATTTAATAAGAAAATTTTAAAAAGGTCATATTATATTATCTCACATACATATGTTCATTTTCTATGTATAAGATAAATATCTCATATATAATATATAATATTAAGAGAGAAAAATATTCCAAAGCAGAAAAAAATTGCTTAACTGAAAAATAATTTGACTTTAACATAACTATTTTTTAATTAAAATCAGTGACATATCAACACTATGAACTAGCTAAATACATTCATATTGGGAGAGGCTATTTAAAGAAAGTATGAACATAATTGCCTTTCTTAATGGAGGCATATACAACTGACTGCAAAGAGAAAAGAAAAAGAAAAAAAATTACATGAGAATATGTACCTGACTTTTTCCTAATGAATTCTGCTTATCTTACATTCTCTGTATTTTCCTATTATCTATCAAAAATATGAATAATAGTTTCTCCTACTACTTCTGCATTTTTGTTTCCTCAAACTAATTTTCTCCATCCACAAATAATAATGAAAATTTCAGTTTGTTTTCCTCATCAGATTTCTGTTATTTTATTGCCAAGTTCCTATCAAGAAGCATTTATGACTTTTTTTTCTTCTGTTCAACTTTCTCCTCCTTTTCACATACAGTTTCTCTAAAGGTGTTGTTTTGTTTAATATTAATTTTTCTCTAATTTTGTTTTTTCTCCCTTTTTCTCAAAATTTCATATTTTCTGTAAGATGCACCTTGGTTCATTCAGTTTTTCAATATTTTGCATCTCGACTTCTTTGATCTAATTCCCTCCCCTTTCTTTTCTTGTGCTCCTCATTGTCCTTTTACTACCCTTTTCACCTCTTGATTCTTTCAATTTTTAATTTCCAGGATGATTTCTTCTGCAGCTAGACTTTCTCAATTACTGTTACATACTCTATTTTTTTTTCTATTTCCAGTACCCCTCTTGAGCACCATCTCCCTGACACTGGAGGAAGATACAAGGTCTTTCTTCTGGTCCTTCCTGTTTGCAAGAAAAGTGTTCTCCTGCTTGAGTTTTGAACTGGGAAGAGGACAGCTGCCTAAAGTATGACATCATTCCTCAGTCCTCCAAGGAAAGTGGTGTGGAGATCCATTAGAGAGCTGGCAGGTATCTTGTCTCCTTTACTTGAATGTTTTACCAATCACCTTAGCAACAAGTATGGGAAGGAGAACACAGATTACTGGCCAAGACTGTTTTCTTCTTTTCCAGCAAGACTTAAGTTTATGTGTGCCCAGACAGGAATAAACCACAGCATTTTCTTGTCTACAGTTGAGCTCTACCTGAAGAGGTCTTCACTCATTGCCCTGTGTGCCCTTTGAGATACTAAGGGCTAAGGTGATACTTCCCAGGAAATGTCACACAGACACCGCTTTAAAAGTTTGAAAACTCTTGAGGAAGAGGTGAAAGGATTCCATTCTGTGAATTGACTTATGGAAAAGAATGGATGCTGGAATGATTGCAGTTGTTCTTTTCATAAAGATGATATTAAGGAAATTATTATGCAGTACAGGTTTCTTTACTTCCTATGAAACATTAGGTTTTCATGCAGTTCCATTTCTTATAAGCAAAAATTTTCAGATAACTGCAGGAATGGGGCCAACATATGTGTAGGACAGGCAGGGTCAAGCAGCAATAAAATAAATCAATAGAGACTTAGAGCAGAAGACAAATAACATGTAAAACAGATGTTCAGAACTCAAACAGGAGGGAGGGTTGTACATGAACTCCATTGTAGCCTAGTCTAAGATGGGTTTTCTGAACTATAGGCTGTGTTGATACATATATTTACAGTTTATCTAGTATCACAGGAACAAAAATCTGGATACTCTGAACTCCACAACTATATAAAAAATATCAATTAATATTTGCAGTGCTTGGAGAATATATGTATTAAACTTTAAATACTTAAAATGAAGTATGAAATGATTGCAGTAAGTATCCATTTAATTTATTTCTGATAAATAAAAAAAAAATCCAAAATAATGAAGAAAGATAAAAGAATTGTTCATTTACACGTAAGATGAATAGCAGAAGAGTGGTATTTTCCTTCTTAAGCACTCACTCTACCTCTCCCTGAAAGAGAAGGATGACTGAAGAGATTCTGGATAGATGAGTTGTTAAACATTCAGTGTTTGATTTCTCTTTTGAAAGAAGTCTTAGGTGCTATTTCTGATTGGATGACGTGAGTACTTATCACTTGCCACCCTATAGCAGGATAAAGCCTCACAACTACTAGCTTAGCAATTCCATGTTTTATTCAGTGTTCTAAGAGATGAGATGAAACATACCATTTCCTACCATGGAAACTATTTTTCAAAACTCCACTAAATCTAGTAGGCAGAACACATCAATTGTCTTCTATGTTACCAGCCCTGATAGAATTTTCCTTCCCTAAAATATGTAGGGTTTTCTTCGTTGGTATTTTATTGGTTTGATTGGTTTATTTGTTAGTAGTTGTGAATTTTTCCCAGCCTGGCCTACCTTTTGTGCTTTTGGCATATCAGTGTGGCGCTGAGCACGTACAGACCGTGCAGATTTAGGTGGCTTTATCGGAGCACAGTACATCTCCAGCCTCCTCAGGTCACAACTCTGGAAGCAGCATTCATCCACTATTCCCTTGTGGTGTAAGCGTCTACTGCTGGATCCATACCCTGTAGGCTTACCTATTCAAAACACAAATGGAAAGTTTTTTCGTTAGAGAGAAAATGCAAAGCTCTCAGAAGCAGTCATGTCATCAAGTTGCATTATTTTGACTGAATCACGAATGACCATTGTAGAGCCTGGCTGTGTGTATCTATTCTAAGACCCTGTTCTCAGATGCACCTTTCAAAGAAATTCCTGGAAACAGCCACCTTTTATCTCTGTCTATGGGTGTTCACTATTTAAGCATTTGAGCAAATTTATGCATTCTTAGAAAATTATTATTAAAATATGTTCCTGAGCTGTCTTAGCATTGAAAATGGAGAGGGAGGAATCTGAAATCTGGCATTTACAAAGGAAATTTGCCCTTTAGCTTTAGGATGAAAACTGATTGCTGAGCCAACTGAGGTAGCTGATGTGTAAAGATCATAGATCATGACTGTGTTGCAGACAAATATTTCCTAGTAAAAAAGGCTGCACCGAGGTACTATGTGAAGCCAGAATGTGTTCCAAAGGGGAAATAAATACTGTATACAACTGCACAGGCTGTAAGATCTGCAAGCTTAAAAGCTAGTGGGAAGCAGGAAATAAGGTAACAAAGTAACGGATGAAATGCAGCAAAGATAGGAAGATGGTTGATGGAACAGATAAAAGCAGAAGATTTTATATTCCATAGATTTGTACAAGACAGGAAATGGGACTGACATAACATGGTTTTCCTGTGTTTTGCACCAGGCATCTGTAGAAACTACTTAATTGGCAAATATTTTCCCTTTTTCACTCAGCTCCAGTAAAGGCCGACATGTTCATTCATACAACTCTCACACACATATTTTTGTCTTTGTTTCCGCAGTGGTTTATGATTTCCTTAGTAACTGCTAATTTCTCTGCTATACTACACAGATATTGAAGTCCCACTGTTTCCTGGGCTTGTTTGTATGCAACCCAGTTGGATGTGTACTTGTCCTGTTATGACTAACTAGAAATGAAGGAACAGTAAATTCACAAAAAGTAAGTAGCTGCTTACTTTCTATATCTATTTTAAATTCTGCTAGAATTTGATTTCACATGCTAAAATTCTGAAAAGATTAAGTGTTTTGTTTTGACATTTTCAGCATTAAATGTTTCCTTTTACAGAATGATCCACATTAGTTAAGAACTGAAAAATATGGAAAAAAAAAAGGAAAGAAAATTGTACCAAGAGCCAAAAAATGAAGTAACTCAGTCAACTCTACCAATTTCTTTTCATGCCTTTTTTTTTTCTTTTTCCCTTCAGTTTTATCACTGAGACCAAAAATCTGTTATTCACAGAGTTTGGCAGGAGTTCACATTTTAAGAATTACTCAAGCTAGATAAGGCATAAAGGCAAAAATTCAGTTTCTCTTTGGGAAATTATTACATCAAATGCTTATACAGCAAATTCCAGGTTGACATCCAGGTACTTGTCCTGCAGCTGCCAATTTGAAAAGACGACACTGCATTTTGCAGTACCCTGTGATTAAAACATGTACCCATTGATGAAGAACCCTTGAGGCTTTAGAACATCAGTAAATGAAAAGACCTCTAGTGGTAAATTATGTCACATTTTAGCCAGCAATACAACTAGCTAAGAACTAACTATCCCTATGAGCTTTGTAAACTCAGACAACAGGTTTTTAAATGTCTTTTTTTTTTTCTTTCCTGGGACTATAAATTAAACGAAAAGAAAAACATGCTTACTTAGTATATTACAATCCACTGAGGGCCTCTATATTGTACATTGCCTGCTAAATCATTTGTTTCATAAGACTAAAGAGAAGAGCAAGCCAGGAACAAATTACAGTAATATTTTGGTTTGTTTGTGTGTGTGTTGTGTATCACTGAAATGTATTATAAATATTTAGATGCAGCATTTTGTTTTTTTTTTTTCTGAAACTATTTTCCCTCACTGACTTATAATAAAAATTACAAGCTTTTTGCTAAAGATTATTTCTGAATTCTTTTAATCCAGTTGTTTTAGCCCAATACTTTTAAAATTTAGCGGTCAAGATAACGTGTGGAGTGTCATTAGTTTGCAGTATACCCAGAGCTGTGCCTCATTTTGTCTTGCTCCCATTTAAAGAAAGGTAGGGCAAATTCTGTTCCTGGATATGCAGGTATAACTCTTCCCAATAGATCCAGCTGAACTATAGGTACAAAGAACTGATTAGTAAAGCCTCCCTTTCTTTTCTTAATCTGCCAATTTTTCATAAGCAGATACACCCTAAAAGCTTCTGTTCAAGTTATTTTACCCCTCAGTGTCTGAATTTAACCATTTATAAATGTGTAGGACCTTTATAATTTATAAAGTTGATAAAGTACCTTTAATAACCTATGAAGCACTGCCTGTCTTATTTAGTAATCAGTGGCAACATTTCTCCTCACTATCATATACATAAATAGTTAATACAAATCCTAAATCCTGGAATCTTTCTAGTGCAAATCTCAGTGCACTTCAAAATCATTTTTAGTGTAGCCAGACCAAAAACATCTATGAGTTACTTTTCTTTCTGACAGAATAATAATTTTATGAAGGATTATATAATGTCTAATAGCCCTTTAAAAAGCCTGTATGGTACATGTAACAACATTGGAATGGAATCACTAACACATCACTGATGTGGTCATCTATGAACTTATAGGCTTAAATATTCATGTATCACATAGCATACTAAATGCTCATCCTTCATAAAAAGATAGCATTAGTCCTGTGAAGTTAGATTTTTTTCTCTTTAAAAAAATGTTTCCCAAGGTTTTTGAAAGACCTAAGCAATGAAATATGCTTAAAATCTGTGTGGTATAGAAAGTGCTATACAACAGAGAGAACAAATTAATAGAAAAAATATTCTTTTTCAGTAATCATGATTCTCAATCGTGATTGAGAAGTATCTGATATGTAAAGTAATTTTAAACCAATAGATTTGAAATTGCTGCTGTCCTCTTAAGTGCTGCTGCTTACAAAGATGCTATTACAGCAAAAGGGGACATAAAGAATTACAAGGAGATACTACCACTTCTACAGATGTTATCATTATTTGGCCCATCTGCTTCTGGAAGGACTGCAGGATCAGATGGTCCCAGTTCATCAAATTACCAAAATATGCATTTAGGTCTAGGCAAATGTTCAAGCTCCTATATAGTGTGTTGGACTAATTCACATGTTAAACAGTGAGCACATGCCTGAGTGCTCTTCTACATGGGGACTGATGTAACTGAGCACTTAAGATAATTTCTAGACCAACTGGTATTGGTAAATAAATGGCTGGTGGTTCTTCATTTTTAATATGATTTTTGTTCCCTTTTTTTTTTTTTTAATAATATTGCCTGCAGTATGGACTGGACTTTCTGTGTCACTATACTGTGAACCCATATAGTTCTTTCTCATCTCTCTGACATAATTTGAGTGCTGCCTTGCAACCGTTATCAAAAAGTTCCTTGTATTTACTCAACCTTCAAAGTGCTGCCTGTGGACACACAACAGTCTTAGACATTCCTTTTTGCTGACGTACACTGATTTCCTTGGAGGTTTCTTTCCTTTTTTGTCAGTTGCCAACTCAAGAGAATTTCATATCATGTAGGTCAAAGTTGCCAACTCAAGAGAATTTCATATCATGTAGGTCAAAGTTTACTTAATAGAATATTTGGCACTTGTTTAATCTACACTATCAAATATGTGAATGTTTCTTTCAATGTGCGACAAGCAGATACAAAGTCTAATCACACTATTCTGAAGTCCCCTGAAAGCAGGCCAAGGTACAGAGTTGCAGTAGTTAAACAGCTGACTTCTGTACTAACAGCATTTCCCTTTAAATAATGCAAAGTCAGTGGAGTAATTCAACAGGACTTGTCTACACTCGATTTCTCTGTTTATCCCCATCCCTCCAAAATACCTTACTCCTATAGGTGGACTATAGAACTATCATATATCAAGTTATCTAGACATTCTATGTAGAATCATAACATACTATTGTAGTAATAATAATAATGGCCAGTCTTCGCGAGCGAAGATTTGGGAAAGGTCATTAACCCTTCGAGCCTGCGCAGTGGATTTTTTAGGTGAGACACAGCGTGCGCTGAACTGAGCCCACCCTTTAATCCTGAGGTTCATCTGCCGGGGCCAAGCAAACTTGGACAGTGGCAGTGAGGGTCTCAGAATGTAGGTTTGTTTAGAGTGACCTTCTCTTAGATGGATTGCCTTACAAGGCTGACGAGCTCCATCTGCCCGGGGGGCTGGGAATCGAACCCGGGTCGCAGCGGTGAGAGTCCTGCACCCTAACCACTAGACCACCAGAGGCCCCCACTATTGTAGTATTAACATTAGAAATTTCTACTATTGTAGTATTAACATTAGAAATTACATAAGAAATAGCCCAGGATAAACACAAAGCTTAATCTACTCTTTAGGGGACTCTAGGAAGAGCTGGGGATATGTGTCCAGGAACTTTTATGTGACTCTTCGTACTTGTTGTGCATAGTGTCATTTGTAGCCAAGCATAGAACTCGAGAATGCTGTGTAGACTGTAATTCAGAAATACATCATAAATCTGAAAAACAGTGACCTAACCTGCTATCAGAGTCAATCATCAGCTGTAACTGCTTTTAAAGTATTCTAAGAGGCCATTAGTTTTGCTCTAGTTTTGTAGCAAGAAACCTTGATAGCAGCTTACAGTATTGGGATGTATGTGAGCATGCTATAAGGCAGTATGTTGGACAAACAGAATTTTTCTATGACCTGAACAACAAGATTGAGTGTTTGTGGTGCTATATTACGATGCAGGAGCTGAACAAACTCATCCTGTCTGCTAGATCCAGACTGAGAGCTGTTGGTTAGAGTGTTTTTTGAGTTGCATGTGCTGTCTGCCTTATAGTGGCACAGAAGACTAGGGATGCTGAATTTGAGATTCATTTTGCTCATCTTTGCTACCTGAAAATTAGGGATCTCGTTTAAGATAGTGAACTCAACAAGGAGGTGTGCCTACAGGGTGACTGATTTCTGTATTGAATG